GGGACTAGATTGCCTATTTTCAATCAGATATTAATGATTAACTACTTTTATGTATTTCTTGTATCTGCCAATTGGTTATATCTTATTTTTCGAAAATATATTTTCGATAACTACTCAACTGTTTTTAATGAAATATATGTACCCAAAGTATGATAAATTACATGTAATTTATTGCATTCAAAATGTACTAACTTATTATTCATACAAAGTAGAAAACACTGAAATTTACTTTTGGTAAACAATTGTACCAGATCATGGAAATGGAAAAGCGAAACCATAATTAATGGAAACAATGTTCACTAAACATTTGTAGCTCTCAATGGAAATGGAAAATCAAAACCATTGTTAGGTCGGTTTACAATTCATAACTACATCATACCGATAACAGTTACAACACTATGTAATAGTTAATAGAACAAACCTCGTATTTGAATAACGAAATGGAAAAAAAAAACACTTGTGTTCAACATAAGAACCGCCGGTTCACCATTTCTTTGCAAAATACAGTTGAGTAAAACTTACTACGAAAACAATGAATACAAAACTAAGGCACTAACAACCACTGCAATCGCACAACTAGTTGACAGATGGTATGCCATACTCACCTCCTTATTCTCACTCTTCAGCTCCAGTTGGGATTCCACATCTGTTATTTGTTTAACAAAACTGGAATCTGCAATGGAATTTTTTATTCTAATGTATTTATTCTCTTTATCAAACCCGGGATTATCGCTTTCGATCTTTAACACATCTCAGGATCATACCAATAGAAGGTCGAACAAGCAATACCCTGATAATCATTTTAATTTAATGTCATTTTACAAAAGGATGCACACATTGTTGGGTGAAATAATATATAATTTCAACAACTTGCTTGACATTGCTGGTTAGAATTAATGAACCATTATAGCTTAATGGGTTGCTTTACAAATTAGTCAAATGTTTAAAATAAATCCCATTCTTTTTTTATGTAATGATTGTTATAACAATATAACTATCAAATTCACATGCAACAATTATTATATGTTTTAAACAAAAACAGTATTGCTATATACTCAAGGCAACATATATTATCAATAAATCAGTGCAAAATGAGGATAAATGATTACCCCCCGCTATGGACCTGATAGAAACCGCTGTCCTGGATTTAGCGGCGTCCATGATGTTTGCACAAGAAGCTTCTGGCCGCAGTCACAAAAATTGGATGCTCGCGGTATATTTTGTTCGAACAAAACCTGTTGCTATTCTCACTCCTTTTGTTGTTATTACTACCAGAACCATTCACTCTCCAAATAAACAGTTCCACAACAAAAATCGGCAAATTTGTTTTGAAAGTATTCGAAATTAGAGTTTTTGACGGATGTTATTGGGGGAAGGCGATTTCTACCATTAATTGTACATATTAAAAGTCCACATTAAAATATAATATGAATTAAGGGCATTTACGACACTATGCATTTAATCCCACCTAATATGTTTAAATCATGTAAACAAGATGGAAATTGACTAGTCAAAAGATTATTAGTCATGACTTAATACAATAGACCAAATGACATGACTAATAACATTCAACATGCTTTATATCACACTATTATGTAAATCATCCTAGCCCTTTTATCATTCAAACTAAAGAAGCATTTAGTGTGTCCTATTGCGATCAACTCATAAGCCATATATATCCTTCCATTCTTTTCATTTATGCGCTACATCTAGCGGGACTGGGTCCCTGCAAAATCATCTTTTTTTTCTACTCGTATTTCTTTTTTCCATAATTCATTCACCAAATCAAAATTTATTATCAATTGGCACAGTAGCTGCACATCTCTCAAACCTCTTTCGATGACCCAAAATAAGGTAATAAGTTTACACTTTTTTTTTCTTGGCCCTTTGTTTTTCATTTTGTTTTGAACCCGGTTTGACCGGGTTTTTCACCGATTTTGGGTGTTTTTTTCACCGGTTAAGACTAGTTTGAAAGGTCCTTTTCCTATTCCGAACAGATCGACTCTGTTTTTAAACTTTCCCATTTTTGGGTGTTGAATTGGACCGGATCTGCTATGGGTCTCGGTTGAACCGGTCGGATTGGCCTGTTCTGCCCGGTTCTGACAACATTGGTTTTGATAGCCTTTGGACCGTAGCGATCCATTTTGTAATTTGGGATTTCACAAGCATCTTGTAATTTTTGATTTCACAACAATCGTAAAATTAGTTCTTTTGATCAACACAAATTTTATTGATAAAATAAAGTGTCTATAGGCTATAACAAAGACAATGTGTTATAAAAAACTACTAAAGATATTGAGTTTGTACAGTGTTAAGTGTATATTTTTACACTTAATCGTGCCTTTTAATTGGAGCTTTTGGTGTGTTTTAACGATAATTGGTGCTTAAAATGTTGATTATTTGTATTTTAGGTACAAATTGAAGAATCGGAAACTTATGGGGTAAAAACTGAAATTTCGGAGAAAAAGTGGGCCAAAAGTGAAAAAATCAAAACTTCAAAGAATTGAAATCCGGACGGCCGTCCGAGTTTCAGCGTTAATTTTGACACGACCCTTCGAGATCACGAGGAGGCGCAGTGAAGGAAGTTTAATTACACAAGCAAACCGCCTTCCTATCCTTCTACACCCTATATAAGGCCAAGCCAAGCACACAATTGGGAATCTTATCTTTTTACACGCAATCTAGGAGCAAGAGAACGGAGCAACGAAGACAAAGACTTGACGAATCTTCATCATAGTTCTCCCTTTACTTTTATTTGAAAACTTTTATGATTTATCGTATTTTTATTATGCTTTGCATAGAGAACATGAGTAGCTAAGTTTTTTAATCTAGGATTTTGTTGGAACCCTATGTGGTGATTCGAACCTATTTTTCTAATATTATGCAAGTTTAAATTCCTTGATTATTTCTTCTATTTGATTTTATTTAGCACATGAACGTAGCTAATTTATGTTGCTATATGTTATTGTTAGAATTGATTGACAGATCGTTTTTTTAATTAGAACAAGGATATGAGAGCCTTCGAGTAGTTTTCACCGGATGAGTGTGTTAATTGCATGTGTTATCGTAGACATACAGATAATACCTTAGGTAGCCGTTTGCGAGACTTGTTATTTAATGCTTTATTCATAATTGATTTGCATAGACATATAGTGAATCGGTTATAAATAATAGACTCATAATACACGCGACAACGGGTTATGAGTAATTGAGTGTCTCGGGTTAATAATCGGGTATCGTAACTTGCATGATAGAGGTTAATTGGGTGACGAATTAGCGCATAGGGGGAAGATAAAATCCTAGATCCGTTTTTATATTGATATTTTCTCGTGATTATTTGCTTTCTTAATTAGTTTAATTGTTTAATTGATTAAATTTGACAACCTTGCGTAGGCTGGGTAAAAATCATAATTGTTAGAATTTGGTACTTAGGATTAGATAATTTAAGTATTCCCTGTGGGATCAACATCCGACTCTCACGAGTCCACTTTTACTACTTGTTTGCGATACGTGCACTTGCGTGTTAGGTATTTAGCCCAACAAGTTTTTGGCGCTGTTGCCGGGGATTACGGCTAAATTATTTATTTATCCTAATATTAAATTTGAGCAATTTTTCTTACTTCAGCCGTTTTATTTATTTATTTTAATTATTTTATTTCCTTATTTAATTTTTTATTTATTTATTTTTTTTGTTTTAGGTACTTTTTATGCGAAGAGGACACGACACGAACTTGCTACCTCTTGATCCCGAAATTGAGCGAATGTTTAGGCACGCCAGGAGAAATCAACGGTTAGCTCGAAACGTTCCCGCAACAATGGAAGAAGAGATTAATCGTAGAGGAGATGACCAAGGGCGCCTACCGATTGTGGCAGGAAATATCGTCAACGAGCAAGATCAACTTCAGCTAATTAATCCACCACCTCGTCAACAAGCATTACATGAGTACACCGTTCCAACACTCAATGGGTTTCAATCAAGCATCCAGCAGCCCACCATTGAAGCCAACAATTTCAAAATTCGAGCGGGACTCCTCACTATGTTCCAAAACAATGGGTTATTCAGCGGATTAGCTCATGAATCTCCACAACTCCGCATGTTTAAGCACTGTTTTCAAGGAGGAGCCCGAGAATGGTTACAAACTCGTGCACCGCACTCCATCTCGTCTTGGCCCCAGCTAGCACAACTCTTCATGAACACATACAACTCCCCAACAAAAACTGAAAGAATCTGGAGAGAAATACAGAATTTCATACAAGAAGCCGGTGAAGCGTTATTCGAGATGTGGGAGCGGTTCAAACAATTAATTCGGAGATGCCCTAATCATGGACTTCAGGAATGGCGCCAGCTGCAAATATTCTACGATGGATTGCAAGATAACTCGAGGATTGTGCTCGACTCTGCAGCTGGAGGAATGTTCATGAGTTTGACCTACGACGAAGCATACCAACTTTTGGAGCGAATCGCTAGAAATAAATACATGCGGGCATCGGATCGGTCAAATAGCAGAGCCGTTAAAACGGGAGGAATTTTGGAGTCAGACGGGGTCACTGCAATCACGGCCCAGTTAGAGAAGCTATCAAAGCAAGTAGCGGCTTTGCAGACTCAGCAAGTCCATGCAGTCCAAGTTCCCGACCAGTGCATAGAAGAAACGGAGTCTCTAAATTATGTGCATGACACCAACCGACAACAAAGGAACCGGTACTCCAACACTTATAACCCGGGATGCAAAGATCACCCTAACTTTGGGTGGGGAGGAAATCACCAAGGACAAACGCAAGCACCACCTCAAGGTCAACCTCCTAGTTATTCACGGCCAGCTCCCGGATTCCAAAATCCGCCTCAAGCTCCACCTCAAGGTGGAGACCTCGCAAATATCTTGGCCCAATTTATGACGTCTACCCAAGCATCCATCCGAAATTTGGAAACACAGATGGGTCAATTTGCAACCCAACTAAACGCGAGGCTAGCCGGTACATTACCATCAAACACAGAAGATCCTCGAAAGGGCATCAACGAGCAATGCAAAGCCATAAGTTTGAGGAATGGGAGATAATTGGAAGAAGTGACGAAGAAGGCGACAAGCAAGGATGGAGGGGAGCAACAAGAAAAAGAAGTTGAGACTCTGACAGATCCCCCAGGTGAGAAAAGGGTCGTTGCGCCTAAGCCGACCCCACAAGTACCTTATCCTCAACGCCAGATAAAGGCAAAGAATGAGTCGTATTACAAATTTTTTCTTGAGAAATTGAATGAATTACATATTCATATTCCTTTTACTCGAGCACTTGAACTAATGCCTCATTGGGTAAATTTTTTGAAACACATGGTATCGAAGAAACGGAAATTCGGTGAACATGAGATGATAGCCTTAACCGAACAATGCAGTGCCATTCTTACTCGCCCAATTCCACCAAAGCTTGGAGACCCGGGTAAGTTTACGATTCGAGTCGCTATCGGAGGTAAGTTCTTTGCAAAATCTCTCATAGATTTAGGAGCGAGCATTAATCTCATGCCTTTCTCAGTTTTTCAAAGTTTGGGATTAAGAGATATAAAATTGGTATCTGTGACTTTACAGTTAGCCGATAGATCACTCATATACCCAAAAGGAATAGTAGAGGATGTGTTAGTTAAAGTAGATAAATTCATCTTTCCTGCAGATTTTGTAGTTCTTGATATGGAAGAAGATAAAGAAATTCCTTTGATTTTGGGAAGACCTTTTTTGAGAATGGGTAGAACTATAATTGATGTGTATAATGGCATTTTATCTAAGTCTTTGGGGGATGAAATGATTAAATTTGATGTTTTCCGTACAATGAAGCACCCTCAAGAGGTTGATGAATGTTTTGCTTTTGATGTGTTAGATCAATTGAATTTTGATTTTATGGAACCTTTAATTGCGGATCTGTTGGAAGCATCTTTGAGTGTAGGAACATCAATTGATGAAGAAGCAATGACGGAACAATTATGTTGGTTGGATTCAGCAAAGCCGCTGTCAAGACCACGCTTCGAAAGTTTGGAAACGGAACTCCCGCTATCTGTCACTTTTAAGCCTTCAGAGATCGAACCTCCGAAACTTGAGCTTAAAGTTTTACCTTCTCATTTCAAATATATGTATCTTGGAGCTCATGATACCTTACCTGTTATTATTTCTTCATCTTTGACATGTCTACAGGAAAAGAGACTTTTGGATGTCTTGCGAGAGCACAAGCTAGCACTTGGATGGACAATTTCCGACATCAAGGGCATAAGTCCAACTTTTTGCATGCACAAGATCATATTGGAGGAGAGCCATTAATCTTCAGTGGAACAGCAGAGGCGATTGAACCCCGTCATGAAGGAAGTTGTGAAGAAAGAAATCATCAAGTGGTTAGACGCAGGTATTATTTTTCCTATTTCTGATAGTGCGTGGGTTAGTCCGGTACAATGTCTACCTAAGAAAGGGGGGATGACTGTGATAAAAAAACGAAAAAAATGAATTAATCCCTTCTAGGACAGTAACGGGTTGGCGAATTTGCATGGATTATAGAAAATTGAATAAAGCCACTCGAAAAGACCACTTTCCCTTGCCCTTTATTGATCAAATGCTTGATAGGCTAGATTGTCAAGAATTTTATTGTTTTCTAGATGGGTATTCCGGTTATAATCAAATCGCCATAGCTCATGAGGATCAAGACAAAACCACTTTTACTCGTCCTTTTGGTACTTTTGCCTTTAGACGTATGCCTTTCGGTTTATGCGATGCTCCTGCTACTTTTCAACGTTGTATGATGGCAATTCTTACGGACATGGTTGAATGTGGTCTTGATATTTTTATGGACGATTTTTCTGTTTTCGGTGATACGTATGACACTTGTCTCCAAATACTGGCTAAGGTTCTTCGCAGGTGTGAAGAGACAAATTTGGTGCTCAACTGGGAAAAGTGTCACTTTATGGTACAAGAAGGGATTGTGCTTGGACACAAGGTGTCAAGGAAGGGGTTAGAGGTCGATCAAGCAAAAATTGAGACAATCGAGAAATTGCCGCCACCAATTTCTGTAAAGGGAATTCGAAGTTTTTTGGGACATGCAGGATTCTATAGGCGGTTCATCGAGGATTTTTCTAAGGTTGCCAAACCATTGTGCAATTTGTTGGAGAAGGACGTCAAATTTGACTTCAATGACGAATGCCTCAAAGTTCGAAGACTTGAAAACAAGGTTAGTAACTGCTCCTATTATTGTTGTGCCTGATTGGAATGAACCCTTTGAACTTATGTGTGATGCTAGTGATTATGCGGTAGGTGCCGTGTTGGGTCAAAGAAAGAATAAAAAATTTCATTCAATTTACTATGCTAGTAAAACTCTAAACGAGGCTCAATTAAACTATACCACTACTGAAAAAGAGTTGCTAGCAGTTGTTTTTGCATTTGAAAATTTTAGATCGTATCTTATAGGCACAAAGGTCATTGTCTTTACGGATCACTCGGCTTTGAAATATTTGATAGAAAAAAAAGAAACAAAACCTAGACTTATTAGGTGGGTCTTACTGTTGCAACAGTTTGATTTGGAAATTCGTGATCGTAAGGGTAGCGAGAACCAAGTAGCCGATCATTTATCTAGGCTAGAAACGGAATTAAAAGATCCAATTTGCATTAATGAAAACTTTTCGGATGAACAATTTTTTGTTGTTGATAATCAAGAAGTACCATGGTATGCGGATTTTGTGAATTATTTAGTTAGCCATGTGCTTCCACCTGAGCTCACTTTTCATCAACGAAATAAGTTTTTACACGATGAGCATTTCTACTTTTGGGAAGAACCCTTTTTGTTTAGACAATGCAGCGATCTAGTAATTCGAAGATGTGTACCGGAAAGCGAGCAAGGAGATATACTTTTTTATTGCCATGGCTCGGACTAATATGCGGGGCATTATGGAGGTGAGCGCACGGCGAGGAAGGTACTTCAATCAGGTTTCTTTTGGCCAACTCTGTTTAAAGATTGCTATAATTTTGTATCAAGTTGCGATAGATGCCAGCGAGTTGGTAATATTTCTAGGAGGCACGAACTCCCATTAAATACAATGATCGAAGTAGAGCCCTTCGATGTATGGGGAATAGATTTTATGGGGCCTTTTGTCCCATCATTCAATAACCTATACATCTTAGTGGCCGTCGATTATGTATCTAAATGGGTTGAGGCGGCCGCCTTTCCTACTAATGATTCTGCAGTGGTTTGTGCCTTCTTGAAAAGACAGATTTTCACTCGCTTTGGAACACGACGAGCAATTATTAGTGATGGAGGCACTCACTTTTGCAATAAACAATTCGAGGCACTCTTGGCCAAGTATGGTGTAAAGCACAAGGTCGCATTGGCCTACCACCCACAGACGAACGGGCAAGCCGAGGTCACGAATCGTGAAATCAAAAACATCCTCGAAAACGTTGTGAGTCCCACCCGGAAGGATTGGTCGAGAAAATTAGACGATGCACTTTGGGCATATCGTACAGCTTACAGAACTCCACTTGGGATGACACCGTTTCGATTGATTTATGGCAAGGCGTGTCATCTACCGGTTGAATTGGAGCATAATGCGTTTTGGGCAATTAAGAAACTGAATTTCGATCTTGAAGCATGCAAGGGGAAACGAATGATGCAACTCAACGAGCTCGATGAATTGAGATTGAATGCTTATGAAAGCAATCGTGTGTACAAGGAAAAAACCAAGCGTTGGCACGATAACAAGATATTGCATCGAGAATTTCAAAAGGGTCAATTGGTACTCCTTTACAACTCTCGTCTAAAGTTGTTTCCGGGAAAACTCAAGTCCAGATGGTCCGGACCGTTTAATATACTCGAAGTATTTCCGCACGGTGCAGTCGAGTTATTGGATTCCGAAACTGGAAAATCTTTCAAAGTCAATGGGCAACGCCTCAAGCATTATCGGGGAGGGGAATTCAATCGCCAAGTGACTTCGGTCACGTTAGCTTGAACAAAGAAGCAGACAAAGTCTGGCTTAAGACTGTAAACTTAGCGCTTCTCGGGAGGCAACCCGAGATTTTGATTTTCTTTCTTTTATTTTATTCGTTTTGATAGTTTTAGTTTTTATTTTTTATTAAAAAGCATGCACACTAATGAAATAAGAAATTTTTATTTTCAGGGGTTAAAATGCAATTTTCACATTTCACACGGCCGCGCAAGAAAAAGGCAAAAATTTCACACGGCCGTGTGAGATTTTGGAGGAGCTACTGTATAAATTCGGTGAGGGGCGCGGCTGTGCGAAAAAATAACTAAAATTTCGCACGGCCGTCTGAGAATCGGAGAAGGCTACTGCCCAAAATTGACTTGGGGCGCGGCCGTGCGGAATTTACGCTGAAATCTCGCACGGCCGTGCGAGGAACAGTAGGCTACTGCCCAAAATTCAAATTTCGCACGGCCGTACGGGAAAACAGTGAAATTATTCACACGGCCGTGCGAAACAAAAAAAAGGGCGTATTAAAGAAGGGTTTCCACACCACAATTTTCACAATTCCAAATCCTCTCTCTCTCCCACTTCGAACCCTAGCTTCCTCTTTTCAAAATTTTCCTTTTATTTGAAAAATTTCGCCTAAAATTCACCAACTACACACACATAACACTCAACACTGTGGATTTTGTTGATTCTTGCAGGGAGGATTCAAGAAGGGTGCAAATTTCTCCAAAAACTCATTCAACAAGGAACACCCACAAGGTGTTCGACAATTTGCCCGAGTCAAGTTTGGAGAAAATTTTGCACCCCAATTCACTTCAAATCCCTTCCACAAGGCATTCTCACATCATGGGAAAAAGAGGACGTGACGGAGAAGGCACTTCGAAAGGAGAAGGCACTTCGAAGGGAAAGGGGAAGGGCAAGAAAGCCGACCAAGTTCCAACTCCCGATGACGATGCCTTTTTTGTTGAAGGCTCCAAGGCCCTATTTGCCAAACAAACGGTGTAAAAACTCGTGACGGAGCGTGCATATACGGTCACCCTACCGCAGTTTGAACCGTTGAATCAAGAATTCATACGACGAGGGTGGCAATCATTGTTGGAACCGGAGGAGTCGATCAATTTGTCTTTGGTCCGCGAGTTCTATGCCAACACCCGTATCCTCCTAACTTCGGATAGGAAGACGAGCACGGTTCGAGGAAAGCGAGTAGATTGGAGTGCCAAGGCCATTAACTCCTTCTACAACACCCGACATGAGGCATTCAATTGGGAACAAATGCAACTCGCGGTAACAAAAGATCAACTCGGCGAGGTATTATGCGATGGACCCCCAATTTTGTCCGAATTCTCCACCGATGAGGAATACGAGTTGGAGTGGAAATGCATCCACCAAATAGGCAAGGCATGCCTTACTTTCATATGCGCTAACCTCATTCCCACTCGCTCGTGGACTCAAATGAACCATGAACGGTGTGCTCTTGCATATTACATTTTGAAGGGAACACAGATCAACATTGGAGAAATCATTTCCGACCGTTTTTTGATCTCCATGACCAACAACTCCAAAGGGCTCTACTTCCCTTGCCTCGTTACCGGCTTATGCAAGTAGGCAAAGGTTCCAACTAAAACGACGGATATTGACACACAAATCCGGAAGCCGATTAGTAACCTTGCGACCCGACAATTCAAGGCACCCATCTATGCTGGAGAGCAACCCGCCGATGGCCAACAACTAGCTCCACCCGAGGGTCCAAGCACAAGTTCGGACCGCCGTTTTCAAAGGAGAATGGAACGAGAGCTAGTTATTACTCGAAATCGGTTAGCCACGGTGGAGCACAAAGTTAGCACAATCGAATCCCTTCAACGGTGGTCGGGGAAGATGCTCCAAGCTATTGTGCGCCATTTGGCGTGCGGTACCCCCGAATGCGCCGAACCGGACCCGTTGCCCGCACCGATTCTTGAGCCACTACCCGAGCTATTGGAGGATGAGGAGGATGGTGATGCTCATGAGCAAGGCGGAGGTGGTGAGCAACCCGGTGATGGTCCTGACGCTTAATCAAGTGTTTTCTATCCTTAAACTTCGTGCGAATCACATTGAGGGCAATGTGAATTTTAAGTTTGGGGGTGGTTAATTATTTGTTTTCTTTTATGTGCGTTTTAATTGTGCTTTAATTGATTGTTAGTTTGCATGTTTTCGGTTTTGTTTTAGTTGTCTTTTTATTATTTGATTAAAAAAATAAAAAAACAATTGCTTGGATCGATGCATCGATGAATTATGATGATGAGAGATGATCAATGTTTGATGATGAGATTACTTGTGTGTTGATTCAACGGAACGTAGAAGCGAATTATTGTTAGGAATCACACCTTGTGCATTGCTTTGGTTGAAT